CTTTCTTCGGCCATTCCGAGAGCCGCCGAGGTGGCGCAGACGCCGAGAACTGACAGCAGCCAGGCCGGCTGGTCAAGGTGGTGTGGGTTAGGGAGCTGGTCAGGCCTTTGCACCGCTGGCCTCCGTGGCTCTCGCTGCGGCCTTGAATGCAGGAGGCGCTTGGGGGCGTGGGCACAGGGCACCGGGCCTGACGGTGGGCGCCTGGGGTGCGGGCGTGCGTGAGCGGGCATACCTGAGCCTGGAGCCTGATCCTATAAGGGCGGCGTCACGCAGACAGGGAGGGCTATGGCGGAAGGACTATGAGGACGAGGGACCACAGAGAGGCAGGACCAGCGGACAGAGCCAGAGAGGAGAGCCCAGGGAGAAAGCAAAGACTCGCTGGGGCTGGGTCTTCCACCCCACAGCCCCCCGCCTCGCCAGCCTGCCGGCTCGCCCCACAGCAGTTGGCGCAGAAAGAGCCTTAAAGGCCGGAAAAGCCCCCGAGGGCTCCGGGACACTCCTCACTCCTTTACTGTCTCCAGAGTCGGAGTTGACAGAGAACCTGCCCTGTGGGCTGGCGCCTCGGCAGAGGGGTGGAGGGACGAGGCCGGTGTCTCAGAGGTCAGAGCTGAGGACGCCTGAGCAAGAGCCGGGCAGGAGAGCTAGGTGGGCACTGGGAGGTGGGTGCTCCTGCGTGGCCGGGGCCCCTCGGGGCCCATCTCACATCCCGGAGCGTCCTGCCTGCCAAGTGGGGGAGATGCCGGCACCCCGAGCCTGCCCAGCCCCCAGTCCCAGGGCCCAGCTGATCCTCCTGTGAATCCACAGAAGGACGGACAGACGGGTGGACAGGGCCTCCAGGGCCCTTAGGCTCGGTGCCCCTTGGGAAGGCGGCCCTTGTGGTGACCTGGCTCGGTGGCTTCCTCAAGGCGTGTTCACCTCAAGCGGGTACTTTGGGGGTGACCGTCTGCATGTTTCCTGACTTACTCTGAGACGCCAGCATCGCGGGGCCCATGGCAGCTGCCGTGAGTAACCTCATCGCGCCCGGGACACCCGCAGTCCCCGCGCCGCACTCTCCCAAGGAGTTGCTGCAGCAGCAAAGTGGTCAGGGGCTGCCGGAGCCCAGGGGATGGATGAGCCCACAGCCGCCCCAGGTGGCCCGCGAGCGCCTGAGGTCAGGGAGGGTCCGGGCTGAGGGCCTGCCCCGTGGGGAGCTGGGGGGGTTGGGGCGAGCAGGGGGTGCCAGGAGCTCAGAGGCACCCAGAACACGCGTGATGATGAGCAAGACCCAGAAGGCCGTGACGCCCCCAGGGCATCCACCTGGAATGTCCACGTTCTGCGTGGAGAGGCCTGGGCAGGAGGCCCTGTGCCCACTTGAGCGCAGCTGCCGGCAGAGCCCCTAGAGCGAGGCCCGTCAGGTGTGGGGTTCCGGAGGCGCCCCATGAGGTCAGGGGCAGGGCACACAGAAGGCGTGCCCTCCCTTTCCCTCCCCGCCCCGTCTCCCCTCCCCTCTCCCCCCCCCCACTTTACAAGCATTGCAATTTGGCTGCTGCTTGTCAGACATCGGGGCTCAGGGGACCGAATGGCAGCAGGTAAAACCCGCGCCCGCGCCCCGCATGCCTTCTAGGAAATGTACACGTAATGAGATCTTCATGAACGACTCCCGTGAATCCATTTCTGCTTTGACTTGAAATCTTAATAGTCACATTTGATGCAAGAATTGGATGATTCTATGGCACACCTGCCCCCTAGGCTGCTCACTGCACTGCCCGTGGCTTCTCCTGGATTAAACGCGTGTGAAACTCCCACAGACGTCTGGCGGGTGTAGGCTCGTCTGGTCACTGTGCAAAATAAATGAGTGAAGTAGCATTGCTGCCTCCCAGTGAAGTGCCCAGGGTGAACCCCTCCTCCTGCCTCATGCCCCTGCCCCACGTCCCCCAGTTCCGTCCAAGCGGAGAGCCAGCCAAGTCTGCAGGAGCCGGCACGGGCACTGTGGCCCTCACCCACCCCACCGTGGCGGCCGAGAGGTCAACCTCTCTGAGCATGGTTGACTGTAACGCTGGGCTGCCCCAAGCTTGGGCTGCATTAAGGGAAGTATGAAGGCCAGGACAAAGAGGTGAGAGCCCCGCCGTGCTCTGGGCTGAGCACTGTGGAGTACAGGTTTGCTTCCCAAACTCCAGAAAGGAGGCGGAGTGTGAGGAATGGAGCCAGGGAAAGCTGGGGAGGGCCCCCCTGAGCCCCGAGAAGGGCCCTTCAGGGAAGGGTGACTAGGTCCCCATGGAGAGTGGTCCCTGGCCCCAGAAGAGTGAAGAAGTTTGTCCTGCATGTCCCAGAAGCGTTGTGCTACAGGTGAGAGGTTCATTTTGGTGAAAGATCAACTCCCGTAGACTCCCTACCCCTGGAGGTCACCTGCTGTGCGGGGCGGCCTGCGGTGTGACAAGCCAGAAAGATAAATCTGCACTCCCCAGACTCCCTTGCGCGCAGGTGCTGTAAGCAAAGCAGCATTGTCCAATCGTACTCTCGGGGCGCTGTGATTCTGCTGAAGGGCATGGCCGTGGGGGTGGGGCTCTTGGCCACTGGCTCCTTGGGTACCGACAGGGTGACCAGCAGCAGCAGCTGACCGCTGCTGCATAGCCCTCAGAAGGTTCTAGAAATCACAACTTCTATGGACACCCTCCTGGTTGGCCACCTGCCTGGTTGTGGTTCTCCCAGAGAGCTGGAGGGCCAGATCCGGCCTTGCATGTCCAGCCTGTCCAAAGTCCCTTCTTTGAAACCTAAGTCTGGAACAGTATTAACAAACACCTGCAGCACGACCTTGGCCAGTGACCCCGTCCCTTCCGTGGCAGCAGAGAGGCAGAAAGTGAGCACAGCTTGCTGTGTCCGCTTACTAGTCCAGGGTGCTGAGGAGACACAGAGGGGCGCCAAGGGGTTCCTGTGTGCGGCTCCCGGCAGGAGAGGGTGCAGCGCACGGCGCAATGCGGTTCGCTTCGGACCCCTGCCCGCCTGGAAGGACCCCAGCTCCTTCTCAAAGGCACTTTGGCATCAACTCTGGGTCGAGTGTCCGTGTGCCCCCATGGTCAAGCAACCAGACAGCGGGATTCTTGGCCTTTGTAGGAAACGAATAAAAATTCAGTAAGAGGCACTTTCTCTGGCGCTGCAGCTGAGGAGGAGGCAGCAGGCGCATTTGGGATGCAGATTTATGTGTCCGCCTGGGTGTGCCTGGGTGTGCCGGCCTTGCCCTCCCGAGCCTCTTGGCAAGATGCAGAGTTTGCATCAGGGACACCAAGTAGTGCCTGGACTGCAAACAGCACTGGAATGGGGAGATGAGCCGCGAGGGAGCCGCCGGCCCATCGTTTTCCATCTCATCCGGCTGCACTTCTGCGGCATCGCTTCTGGACCAGGCCGACACCCTTCCAATGTCCCCAGCGCGGGCTCAGGGTCCAGGCCCCGCAGCTGCTCTGCGTGGCCGCAGCGACCAACGGGCAGGGCGCCCATCAGGCCTGGCTCCTGGTGAGCCCCTGGGAGCAGGGAGCCTCTTCTGCCCTGTGGTGTCAGTAGGTCTCCAATTTGGGGGGCGAGGAGCAGAGGGGGGCCCGGCACTATCCAGAGGGCCCTCAGTGTGCACTGAGTCCCTGCCTCCCAGACCCCAGGCGCGGCGGGAAAAGCCGGCTCCTCCGCTTTCGTCCCATGAGGAGCTGATGTTCAGGGGCAGAGATCTGGGGTTTGCCCTCTGGGAACCGTCCAGCCACAGTTCTGGGGCCCCACCGGCCACCCCTTTGCACGAAAGGGCACCAGGGAGGCCCAAGACTCCTTCAAGGTGTGAAAGGGGCACATGGGCGGGGTCCTCCCCCTGCAGGCCTGACAGGTGTGCAAAGCCCCTCGGTGCAGGCCCCAGCCCCTGCCCCACCCATCGCCCTGCCCCCGCCCCGCCCTTGCCGCTGATGCTCCGGTAGGACGGCCACCATCTTCCCTGCGGCCCACGCTGGCAGCTGCTTGCTGCTGCCCTCACACATGCTTCCCCGCTCTCCGGTCCTGTCCTGACCCCTAACCAGGCTCTGAGCTGGCAGTGACGGGTCCCCCCGGGCCCCAGGAACCGGCCCAGCCCGGAGCCAGGGACCCTCTGGCTGGCATCTTTATCTCCAGACTCACCAATTTGCAGGCATTAAATACGTACGGCTGTTCAGATGCCCAAAAACAAGTGCATTTTTTAAATTACAAATCAAAGAGAAAGCTATTTCAGCCCCGCCTGGCACGCAGCAGGCACTGGCAAAACAGGGTCTCTCCTGTACACCCTCGGTTTGAACTTGCAGGGGTCGCGAAACCCTGGCAGGCCTGAGGAAAGGAAATGTGCATTAGCCTAAAAATCAGGTCGGGTGTCAGAGGTCCCAAGAGCCCAGCCCCCCAACCCCAGCCCAGGGGCCCCCACGTAGGAGGAGGCGGACCCGGAGCCCCCAGGAGAGCAGGGCCAGGCGCCCAGTGCTGAGCAGGGGCCACCTGCCCGCCCCACCTGCCCGGGCCTCCAGGGGGCGCTCACTGCACCCAGCAGGACTCACCTGTCTTCCAGGTAGCTGGGCCTCTCGGTCCTCCACGGGAGGGGTGGGCGGCTCCACCTCCAGCCTCCGGTCACCAGCACCGCCGGGGCCCTGCTGGAGAAACAGCTCCCCACGCGCCACAGACAGCCTGCGGGGTCCCGTTCTTTCAAACACCCTGGCCTGCAGCATCCCCCAGATTCCAGTTCCTCCCCCAGACTCCAGTTCCTCCCCCAGATTCCAATTCCTCCCCCAGACTCCAGTTCCTCCTCCGCTGGAATATTACTGTGGTCGCTTGTGGCTGTTTGGAAACTGGATTTCTCATTAGCATCTTCACCATTTAAAAGTGTTTCATCCTGAAGCTTGAGGCGTGTGCAGGTGTGTGTCCAGACGGCCCCTGCGCTCCTCCCGCCTCCTCCCAGCTGCCCAGGGCCCGCAGCTGGCAACAGGCGTGGTCCCGCGGCCCCTGCCATGGGGCACAGGCCTGTGATTGGATCACAGCGCCCCAGGCCCAGACAGCCGGAGGGCCGCAGAGGGCCCCGGGCGAGCAGGGCTTGGGTCCGGGGTGGCTGCTCCGTCTTGGAGGTCAGGATGGACAGTCAGGTCCCAGCGGCGCCCCAGCATCATGCTTGGAGACAGCTCGGCAGACAGATCCAAAACTGGGGAGTATCTTGCTAAGGTGGAGGGCACGTGGGTGGGGGCAGCATGCCTGACGAGGGACACCTGAGCACGGGTGCGTGCGTGTGCAAGTGTGCACACCTGAGCCCGGAGGGCGGGGATATAAGGGCGCGTCGCCCCGAGATGGCGAGGGCTCCGGGAGGCGGTCGCCGGGAGGCCCGGAGGACAGACTCTCAGGGGCTGAGGTCTCCCCGCGGCCTGCTCCCCACTCCCCGCCGAAACCTGCGAGAGTGACGCCAAGGGCACCAGACTCTCCTTCTAGCCCTGGAACCATGTGACGCCGCCCGCACAGGGTGGTTGCCAAACAGGGTGGGCCCGTGAGCCGCACTGAAGGGTGGGCGCGGCCCGAGAAACCCACCCTTCAGTGGGGCGCAGGGACAGTCCTGGGGGTGCCAGGGCAATCTGAGGCACCAGTGAAGGGGAGAGTCTCAGAGGTCACTGTGGCCACCCCCACGCCTGCCTCTGTCTGGAGCTGGGGAGAGGGCGCCGGCCAGAGGCAGGGGATGGGGCCCAGCGGTGAGAGGGGGTCAGAGTCTGGAACGGCCCAGGCCATTGTGCCGACGGGCCCACAGCTGTGTCTCCTGCGCCACACAGGCCGCAGCAGAGGGAGGGGCTTGGATGGTGCATCGATGCCCTCTGACCCCCCCCCCCGGCCCCTAGTACAGGGGCTGTAGCTGGGGGCAGGAAGGAGGCCACTGCCCCTCGTCCACGCCCACTCCGTGGTCTCGTGGAGGCCACCATACCTGCAGCCCGCTCTTCCCGAGCCTCAGGCCTGCGCACCTCCATGGGAGCCTTAAAGGCCCAGGCACGCACCAGCAGAGCTGCACGGGGCGGGTCCCCAGAAGGCCTGCGGCTGCCCCAGACCCCCCTTTCATTGTGTTGGGCTCTTGTCCCCGGGAGACTCAAACTAGCATCGAACAGAACAACTCAGTCACATGCATGTGGACAACTCGCTCGGCTGCAAAGTCGAAAGAGAGTGGGACAAAAGGGGGCACGGGGGCCGCCAGGGGCCTGTCTGAGCACTATCACCGCTGCGGCCTGAGTCAGGGCCCGGCCAGGGAGCTACCCACATGGCACGGCAGACCTCCCCCGCCTCACCCGCTGCTCCCCTCAGCAGTGTGTTTCAGCAGATCCGCCTGTACTGCTCCCCACTATCTCTAGGGAGTCCTCTCACCCCCACACCTCTGGCCTGTACCCCAGTTTTTATATGCGTAAATGAATAAAACAAGGAGGCAGCAGCCACCTTCCCGCGTCCTCTGACACGCTCTGATGCCCATGGCCTCGGCACTGGCAGAGGCCCGCTTCAGGACTGAGGTGGAGGGAGCAGCCTCCGTGGATGGCTGTGGGCCCCCAGCGCCAAGTCCGGGGAAAAGCTGGATGGCGGTGAAACCAGAGACACCCCCCAGCACTGCTCGTGGCCAGGGCCAGGGGTGATGGTGGACGGCAGCGGCTGCCCCAGCACACGCCACCCCAGGGCAGGCAGCCCCTGGGGCCCCAAGGACCGGCTCCTGGCCTGGCTCCTCCAGCTGCAGGCAGTGGAGAGGCCGGATGTGCCGCCCAGGCCTGAGTGGACCACCAGGTGCCCGTGATGAGCTGATTGGGAAACTGGCCAATCAGGCGCGGGGTTGGAACCATCCAATCAGGCGCCAGGTGGGCCCACGAAGGGGATAAGGCGGGAGGCCGGTGGGGTGCAGGTGGGGCTTCCGCGCTGAGCTGCTCCACGCCCCTGAGCCCCCAGACTTGTTTGCTTAGACTCGCTGGGGATGCTCTGGACCAGACACTCGCTCGCTCAGGCTGGATGCCCTCGGACGCAGCTGGCCCCCGACCTCCGAAGGACGAAGAGAAGCTGAGGAGCTTTGCGGAGGCCATGGCCGCCCCTACCCCCAGCCGGCCCTGACACCGCCTGGAGGGGCTCCGAGGCCACCTCTGACACCGCCTGGAGGGGCTCTGAGGCCGGGGCTGGCGTCTGGAGCTGCCTGTGGTCAGTGTGGGCCACTCGAGCCGTGACGCTGCTGACCGGCGGTGACCAGCACTGCTGGCCAGTGCTCCCCAGCACTGTGGACTGGGGCCTGGTGTCCCGCCTCCCCGAAAGCTGGCAGCACTCATGATGGCCGCGCCCTCCAGCCCCGTGAGCACCTGCAGCTGTGGTGAGTCAGGCGTCCCTGGCGGGAGGGCGCCATCTTGGGGAGCAGCCTTTCTCGGGACTGTAGACACCCTGGTGGAGGGATGGCCGGGTGCTAGGGCCTTCGAAACGGTTTCCCCGGTTTGTCCAGCCCCCGGTGTTGCTCCCCAGCCTGCAGGGTCTTGGGTCGTGCAGGCAGGTGAGGACCCCACAGGCAATGCCTGCCCTGGCTCTGCCCTGGATGGTGGTGCCCCAGTGCCCAGTTTCAGCCGCACTAGCTGTCCCCCTTGGTTCCTCGCCAGTGTGCCAGGCCCGCCCTGCGTGCGTGCAGGGGACTGGCCTGAGTGGGCGGCCAGTGGGGTCTGCAGTGTCTCGCGGGTCCACCCTGGCCAGGAGCTGAGGCGCTGGCCCTGGGCTTAAAGAGAAGACCCCGCCCAGCCGCCCTGCCGGCCCTCGGCTCCAGAGTGGCTGACTCTTCCCAGACTAGGCCGGTGGGGGTCAGTCATCACCTGGGGACCCCAGAACCAAGGTTGCTCTAAGCAAAGGCTCTCTGGCTCTCCCGGAAGCCGGGACTCAGGGGGGCTGTCATTCATTCCCCGGGAGAGGCCAGTGGACCCCCAGCCGGGCTCTGCCCTGTGAACAGAAGCCTCGTCTCCCACCCATGGGGAGCCCCTGTCTGGGCCCGCTGTCCCGCCTGGGGGGAGAGGAGGACCAGGTGGTCTTGTGATGGCGACCTCGTGATGGGGTGGGGAGCAGGCAAGAAACCCACGGGACAGCCCTGCAGGGGGCCAGGAGGCCCCCAAGGCCACACCCGTGCAGCCCAGCTCCAGGCGACAGTGAGGCTCACTTCAGCTCAGCCGCGGGGTGCAGGGGAGCTGGAGAGGAGCCTCATGTGGCCCCAAAGTCTCCTGCTGCCAGGGGTGCTCTGGGATGTGGGGTGTGGGGTTGCCCGTGGTGTGGTACGGCGTGCCTAGTCAGGGCTCCCAGAGAACAGGGCCCAGGCAGCAGACAGTTCCACGTCACACCTGCATGCGTCAAAGCAACACGTCACACGTTATGAATGTCATGCTAACATGCGCCCAGGTACAGTCAGCATCTGACCAGCCTGGTGTGACGCTCGTATCCCGTGACGTTCTCTGCTGCCCTCACATTTAACAGATTCATTACCTGTAATGCTATATGTTGTCACAGGATATCTATTGTGAAAAATTAATATGGTAATAAGCTGCGTAATCAATGCGCATAAGGTATTAAACAGAAACTTAACCCACGCATATGAAGGGACCCATCAGAGAACTGACTCGCACCCACAGATGCCACGGAGTCCAGGCCCCGAGAGCTGGCGGGGCCCTTCTGCTGGGCGGGCTCCCTGGACTGGAGGACGAGGCCTGCGTCCTCTCCAGCAGCGCAGATGCCTGTGGCCGGGCACCGTCAGACACAGACAAGCAGACGCCCGCGTTGCCCCCGCCCACGGGGACATCGCTGACCGCGGAGGTGGGGGACGAGGGCCTCCTGCTCGCCTGTGGCCCTCCTCCTCCCGACCCCGTCCCCCAGGCCCGCGCGTCCCCGAGCAGACCTCTGCCCGGGGTCTCTCTGTGGACACCTCCAAACAATCCTGCGCTCTGTGTTGCCGAGTGTTGGATAAACAGGCTGGATTGTGGAGAACCACCTCCTCCTTCCTGATTCTCGCCCCACAGGACCCACCCAACCTGCTGGGCCTGTTCTGAGCTGGCGCCTGGCACCTCCACCCCGCAGGAGCCTTGAGGGGGCGGTGCTGAGAAGCTGCCCTTCTCGGAAGACCCCTGCCCTCATCCGTAGGCCCTACTTTCTGCTTGAGATTCGGGATCCTGAAATCCCAAGCAGGCTCCCTCCAGTAGCCCCTCCGGGGTGCTCACTCAATACGCCCCTGTGGCAGCCATCTGGCACGGAGGACTCAGATGGAACCTCCCTATGTCTCTCTGCACCTGCTGTGCTGGGCGCCTCGAGGCCCTGGGCTCGCAGGTCAGGGCGGTCGGCCCGCAGGGTCACTGTCTGGGGCACCCAGGGCACGAGGGGTGGAATTCCCAGCAGAGGGAGCGCGTGGGCAGAGATAGGTGCTCCCCGGGCGTATTAGGTTCCCTGCGAGCATCAGATGCCAGCCTGGGGCGGCCGTGACCCCCCGAGGGAGAGCCAGGCTGTTGGCCTTCCCATCACCCCACTCAGCTAAGGCTGGAGCCTGGACAGGGCAGCGCGGGAGGGTCTCTGCTGCTCGTCCCTGAGGACCAGGCTTCAGGGTCCAGTTTCCTGGTCTGGACCCTCTCCCAGGTGCTGCCTGCCGGCCTCGCGCTGGGCGCTGCTGCCGCAGGTGCAGTGGGCAGGTGAGAGGGGTCAGGGACACAACAGCGCCTCCCAGCCCTGCCCGAGCCTGGCGCACGGACAGCTGGGACACGCCGGGCAGAGGAGCCTGGGGACCCTGGTCATCAAGTGCAGGCGAAGCCGCCCTCCCATGGATCCCCAGGTCCTGTGAAGACAAAGGTGTTATGTTCGGCTGCCAGCAGCTTCCCCGCGTTCTCACCCAGCCTTCCTGGGGAACAAAGAGCTGATTGAGGCTCTCCGCGCTGCTTCCTGAGCCGCTTCTCCTGTTGAACTTCCTCAGGTGCGACGGGGCCAGGGGCCAGCAGGTCCACGCTGGGCCGGTGGGCAGCTCGCACCGAAGCACACGCCCTGCTCCCTGCAGCTTTGCGGCCGGGCCCGGCGGCTCCGTGTCAGCCCATCCAGCGCCTCAACTTTCTGGAGCGCTTTTGTGCTGAAACCCAGCGCAGACCGTGGCCACAAAAAGAAAAATTGATATATTTTATGTAAATCCTCTGCCATCTTTGCTGCCAGGGGCAGACTGAAAGCCAGGCCCTGGGGCTGACCTCAAGGTCAGCCCCAGGGCCTAGCTTCCTGCAGGCAGGTGACGTCAGCCCCTCCCGAATCGCCCGGCCCAGGTCAGGCAGCGCCGACACACTCGGAGGTCCATCCTGCCGGGCGCTGCTTCTCCATGGACCTGAGCCAGCCAGGAGGGTCCGTTCCCCGGATGGGCCGTCGAGCTCCTCACCTGACACTTGCAGGTGCCTGAGACCTGACGCCGCTCACCTCCAGGGTCTCCTCCTGCCAAACAGCCCTGGAAGTAAACGGCAGGGCCCCCATTTTCAGAGAGGCAACGTGAAATGCCCAGCGTCATGCAGGGTCAGTGTGGACACAGCGGGACTCGCCTGCCCGCCCCATCCTTCACCCCCGGCTCACCTGTCCCTCCCATCCCACCCTGGATGGCGAGACCGAGTTGTGAGCCTGGGTGGGGCCTCACAGACCCCAAGACAGGTCAATTCTGGGGGCAAGTTAGCCAGCTCCATGACGGCAGCCCTCAGTCCGGAGGAGGCGCCGCTGGACCCCCGTCACGCACTGTGAGCCCCTCCACGGCTGATTCATGCCGTGTTGATTTAGTGTCCAGGTCTCTGGCCCCCCAGCTGCACCGTGCATAACATATTTCAATCAGAAATAAGCACAGTAAGCTTCCAGAAAACCCAATACAGGCATTTACTTTCTTTCCATTCACGTGGCTTCAGAAACACCACTAAAATGGAAAAACGCTTAATCTGCAGGCAGGTCTAGAAGGGCAGGTGAGCAGACCGGGCCTTGATGAAATTTTTTCCTTTATTTAAAATCCTTTAATAAAGA